CAAAAAAAAAAAAAAAAAAACACAACAACAACAACAAAAAGACAATAAGACCCTGTGAAGATGGGGGGAGGAGAAAACGCCATGTTGGAGAAGGGAAGAGTTTAGGCTTAAACAAGTCAGATGTGCCAGGAACCCAATGGCTGCCTTTCCTCCTTTTAGCTTCTTGGGATCACACAGCCATATCTTTCTTTGTTCTCTTTTCTTCTTTCTTTCCCCCTCTCCCCTTCTTGTTTTATGAAAGAGTACACTCGAACTGGCCTCATGGAACTTGCGATTCTTCGGCTTCAGCTTCCCGACCTGGAGTTATAGTATATGCCACTGTGCTCAGCTTGCATTTTGACAACTTCTGCCAAATGCCCCATTTTTCACATTCTTCTCCCTGAGATAAGCAGCAAAACAAAGCCCCTGGTTATCGCTGTCTTCTCCCTTTCACAAAGACAGCCTGCTGCGATGGTCCCCTTTTATTATTTACTTTGCAGATGGCAAAGAATACTTAATGAAAAGGAGATTTCAAAGGCGCCTGAATGCCAGAATCACTGCCATGGACCCTGGTCTGCATCCACTGCCTTCCTTTTTGGATGTAGCCAGATCATTTTCATTTCCCCCTTTGCCTCAGTCCCTGCCTGGCTTGACCAGAGCACACAGACCCACCTGTGTCTACTGTATGCTTCTGACAGGTCATAAGCCAACTTGGCTTTTGTTTTTATCTTTTTTAAAATATTTATTTATTTATTATGTATACAATGTTCTGTGTGTATGCCTGAACGCCAGAAGAGGGCACCAGATCTCATTACAGATGGTTGTGAGCCAGCCACCATATGGTTGTTGGGAATTGAACTCAGGACTTTTGGAAGAGCAGGCAATGCTCTTAACCAGTGAGCCATCTCTCCAGCCCTTGTTTTTATTTCTTGAGACTGTGTCCAGACTGGCCCCAAGCTTGTTATGTAGCTGAGGTTGGTCATGAATTGCTGATGCTCCTGCTTCCACTTCCCAAATGCTGGGAGTACAGGCATGTAGGTAGACCTTTATGCCCCCTCCCCACACCAGTCAGTTCCCAAATAACCACACGGAGACTTTTTAATTTTGAATGCTTGGCTGATAGCTTAGACTTGTTTTTAACCAGCTCTTATAACTTAAATTAACCCATTTCTGTTTATCTGTGTGCTTCCCCTAGGCCCACTTACCTCATCTGTGTGCTTTTTATGTTGCTTCTTCCGAGTCGGGCTGGCGATTCCTAAGACTCCTCTTCCTTCATCCCAGCAGTCTCTTAGTCTGGTTTTCCTGCCTAACCTCATTCTGTCTAGCTATAGGCCAGAAAGCTCCTTTATTAAAACAATCACAGTGGCATATATTCACACAGTGTGAAGGAATATTCCACACAGGTCTATAACCCAACATGCCTGACTTGTCATGTGCCTCTGACTACTAACAACTGGTAATCCTACATATTGTGCCCAGTTTGGGTCCAGACCTCATGGAAACTTCAGTTAAAGTTGCAACATTTCTCCTTAGAAAATGCCCAGGCTCCCACAGTGATGCATGGATTCGGGGTTTTACAGACCCCACACTAAGCCCTCAGAAGGGAGAAGCACCATCTCATCAGTGTAACCCACAGGCTCTTCCTATTTCCTCCCCCTATACAGCTCCTGCCCGAAGAGTCGCTGAGTCTCTTTTTCCAAGAATGCCATAAACAAGCCACACAGGGCTTCAAGATCCACATGCCAAGGGGTCGATACTGGAGGCTTCGACTGTGCCCTGGTAATTTTTCTCTTTTTTCTCTGTAGTGCTGGGGAAGAAACCCAGGACTTCACACATGCTAGGCTAGCAAGCCCTACCGAGACACACAGAAACCCCAGCCCACTGTCTTGGTAACTCCTCAGGTCCACCTTCTCCTTCCAAGGGTTCCCAGCGTGAATGGTGACTCAACACACTGTCACCATCCTTGTCCTTACCTTTGTGCCCTTCCCTCTGGTGCCCACTGGATTTCTAGAGTGTCACAATCTGTCCTTACTCTTCTCTCCCTCCAGAACATCCCAGTGCTCCTAGTGAGTATGCAGGGATGGTGGTCTGCACTGTGCTGGAGCCTGTGTTGCAAGGACTGCAGGGATTGCCACCCGAAGCCCAAGTCCCCGCCCTCAGCCAGGCACTGACAGCCGTACTGGGTGCCTGGCTTGACCACATCCTCACCCATGGGATCCGGTTCAGGTGGGAAGGAAAGATGGTCGTGGCAGAGGGAGAATGTCAACAGGGAAAATGGAGAACACGGGGCAGAGCAGTCTGGGGAGGCGCGCGTGTCAGGTGGCCACATTGTACCTGGACATCTAGTCTGCAGGGGGCGCTGCAGCTCAAACAAGACTTCGGAGTGGTCAGGGCGGTTCTGGAAGAGGAGCAGTGGGGCCTGTCCTGGGAGCTTCGCCAGACTCTGTTCTCACTCAGCATCTTCCAGCGGCTAGATGGGGCCCTGCTGTGTCTACTGCAGCAGCCCCTGCCCAAGAATCCAGGCCACAGAAGACCTTCCTGTTGCTGTAAGTCGTTCATTACCCCTCCCCAATCCCAGGTTTTCCCAAGTCCCTCCATCACTGCTTTAAGAGTCCACACCCCCATCTCATCATTGGCATTAGCATCACCCACGAACCTGCCTTCCATGCCTGCCTTCCCAGGTTTTTGTAATGAAGTCCAGACCACTGAACTGCCCACCAGCAACCTCAACAGCCTAGAGAACTTGGCACCCCCTCTACGGCCTGGAGTCTCCCCAGCTCAGAACATGCACCTGCGAAGCACCCTAGGAGGAGGAGGAGGAGGACCCAGTCCTGAGGCTTACCTGGCTGGAAACCAGCAGGCCTGGCTTGCCCTAAGGCTGCACCCGCACCCTCGGTGGCACCTATCCTTTCTTTCCTGCCTGGGAACAAGCCCTGAGCCCTAGGTTGCCTAGGACCAGGAGTTCCAAATCGTGGGCAGTTAAGCTCCAGTCGAGGAACTGTGTGTTAGAGAGGCTTAAATCCGGGATCTTGGGAGAACACGTATATAAACTACACAGTCTGGAATTGAATCCAAGATCATCATAGTACCTGGAATCCAGAGTAATGGGCAAACTACAGCCGGAAATCTGAAAGTCTGTGACAATGAAGACAAGAGCTAGAAATAGCTAGATTTACAGGGTTGGCTCGCAAGAGACAGAAGCAATCTATATGCTTTCTCTTGAATTCCAGCAACAAGGCTAAAGTTAATTAATTCATGGGGAAACAGAGGGAGCAAGCATTTCTACATGTGGAGAACTTGTCTTAAGCCTTCCCTGTTTCTATTTTTAGTCATTAGGCTGTAGGACCTTGACAACATTTAAACTGTTCAATTACCAGGTGAGGCTTGCTTCCTGGTGGGGTGGACAGTCCCTGCTGTGGTAATCCCTCATCGGAAGCAGCCAGGATTTAGGATGGTGTTGACCTAGATCTAGCAGGCAGGATGCTGAACGGGCAAAGCTGCGGGAGACGAAGTGTTTTCGTGCAAAGGGGGTTTTTGCACATTCACTGTCTACGCTGCGTGTCGCACAGGGTAAGGCTAAAGGCTGAAGTATTCGCGGACCGCCCACAGAGGCCTGGGAGAGCAGCCGCAACAGGTCCCGCAGAGGCCGCCGGAAGCGGTCCCTTCCAATAAAGCGATCCCCAGCACTACTTCCGGGGGAGAGGTAACCATGGCGGCGACTTTAGCTCGGCTGGGACTGCGGCCGGTCAAGCTGGTTCGAGTTCAGTTCTGCCCGTTTGAGAAGAACGTGGAATCGACAAGGTACGGGTTCTGTGGAGGTGGGAGGCGTCCGCGCTCCCGACGCCTGCGCACGCACCCCCGACCCCCCCTGCCCGAGTTCCAAGGCCTCTCAGACCCCGCGCTCCCTGCTTCGCGCACGCCCCTTCGCCCCCGGGCGCGCTCACGGGGTCCTCCCACCGCAGGACCTTTCTCCAGGCAGTGAGCAGCGAGAAGGTCCGTGCCACAAACCTCAACTGCTCGGTGATCGCCGACGTGAGGCACGACGGCTCCGAGCCCTGCGTGGACGTGGTATTCGGTAGGCCTGGCTGGGACGCGGGCGGGCGACGGCGGACTCCGGGTCCCTGACTCATCGGTTTGCATCTTCCCCAGGGGACGGGTATCGGCTGATTATGCGCGGCGCCCACCTCACTGCTCAAGAGATGTTCACTGCCTTCGCCTCCCACATTCGGGCCAGGAACGCAGCGGCAGCATCCGCACCCAGCACAGACAAGCCGGGGTCAGTTAAGCCGGGCTCAGTTACTGGTACCCGGCGCTGACATTGCAGAAGAGGACAACTACCGAATGTTAACTTGGAACTAGAGACAGTTGTCTAAGAAGAGCTGGGCTTAATCATTTTAAAGCCTCCATGGGTGTCACGAAACAGACTGACTGTGCAAGGAACCCTGACACTTAACAGTGCTTTGGGGGCAAGATAAGTAAGATTAGTTGGTGGAGGGTCAGGATAAATTTGAATTTTTCTGTCTCTTCCCTCACTGCTTAACCATATTTGAACTTGGCGTCATCTGTCACCCAAGTACTGTTTAATTAAATATTTATTGCCGAATGAATGTTATTTTGCGCAGGTTGTTTGCTTGATTGGTTTTCGAGACAGGCTCTTGTCAGGAGCTAACCCGAGACTTGGTATGTAGCCCAAGGTGGATTCTCCTGCCTCAGACTCCTGAGTGCTGGGATTATAGATGAACATCACCACACTAGGCTTCAGGCCTCATCGTTCTTGGTAGTTTTCTCTACTCTTAGTAGTTTTCTCTGTTTTTAGTAGTTCTTGTTTACTCTCATAAGGAGTCTGTCTTAGTTAGGGTTTCTATTGCTGTGACAAGACACCGTGACCATGACAACTCTTATAAAGGAAAACCATTTAATTGGGGCTGGCTTACTGTTTCAGAGGTCCATTATTGCCTTGGTAGGAATCATGATGGCATACAGACAGGCATGGTGCTGTAGAAGGACTTGAGAGTTCTATCTTCATCTGTAGGCAGCAGGAAGAAACGATAACACATTCCTCCAACAAGGCCACATGAATCTGTGGGAGCCATTTCTTTTCAAACCACCACAGAACCACCCATTCTGTCATAATTTAAACTGCTCCGGACTTAAGCCCTACATTTCTGTTTAGTTTTAACCCCAGCTTCTGCAGTTACCTGCTCCCAATTTCCTTCATGTGCCACCAATATTCTTTCCTTAAAGTGGGGTCAGCCCCACCTGGTGGCACAGACCATCCCAGCTACTCAGGAGGCCAGCCTGGTCTATTTAGCAAGACCTTTCCGTTCTCACTCCTCCTGTACCACTTGGCATTCTCCTTCCTGGTGACATTTTCCCAGATCATTTTTTTGCTGCTACTTAATCTTCTTCTTCAGGTACATAATAGCTAACTATTTCAGAGCACCTGAAATAGTTTATAGTCCAACAGACATTGATGTGACCATGAAATCATTTTAGAGGATTAAATGGTATAAAAAGTTAGCCATTCATGCTACATGAGTATTCTTTTAGGAAACTTTAGTTTTAAGCAAATAACCATGTGTATTTTATAACATAAAGGCACTCCAATGTAATGTGTGTGTGTGTTTGTGTTTGCAAGTACTGGGTTACAGTACACATTGTTTCTTTTTTGTTTTGTTTCTCTGAGACACAATTTCTCTTCGTAACAGCCTTGGCTGTCCTGGAGCTTGCTCTATAGACCAGGCTTGCTCTGTAGACCTGTCTTCCCCAGGATTTTATTCCCCAGTGCTGAGGTTACTACCCCAGCTGGCTTTTATGCAGGTATATTGGATCCCAAGTCAATTTCTTATGCTTTCCCAGCAAGTGCTCAAATCACTGGGCCACCTTCCCAGCCCCCTTGTTCCTTATTGTGCATTACAAGGGAAGAAAAAAATAGCCCACAGTTACTGCCAAAGAAGAACTTAATGCCCAGTGAAGGTAATCAGAGATATCTTAGAACTGGCTGCTATGTAATTTACCAACTACATTAACTGCGGAGCCCCCTCCGTCCAGCAGTACTATAACTCTTCCCTGCCTAAAAGGATACCGGAGACTTCTCTCTCCACCCTCCTTTAAGGTACCAGAAGCTTCTCTCTCCACTGTCCTTTAAGGTACCAGAGGCTTCTCTCTCCACCGTCCTTTAAGGTACCAGAGGCTTCTCTCTCCACCCTCCTTTAAGAAAGACTGCTGCTGTGAGAACCAGCCCTCAGCAGCTCAGGAGTTGAAGGGGAGCCATAGAGTCAGCGAACTAATCACTCAGTTGACTTTTCTGTGAGGGAGTAAAACTTAATTAAGTCTTTGGGGTTTGAGAAAGAGGGAAAACATATAACACACTTTCAGGGTCTCTTTATTCTCTATCTTTATTTTTCCTTTACAGCTTATATATCTCATCAAAATCTTTCAAGCAATATAAAAATTACAGTGTGGTTACATTCTATTTTTCTAGTGAATCATAATGAATATAGGTAAAAAACAACATGTTCCCATTTTCCTTATATGATTAAACATTTTGTATATTATAAGTAAGAAACAAATTATTCCTAAGAACCAATACATTAATGTCCAAGCAGCTTGTTATAGATTAGCAGAGTATAAGCAAGCAAGCAAGGTATTTTTCTCAGCCAATTCTTTTACTGGCAAGCTGCTTTTTTTCTTTTTTTTTTTTTTTTTTTTTTTTTTTGGTTTTTCGAGACAGGGTTTCTCTGTGGCTTTGGAGCCTGTCCTGGAACTAGCTCTGTAGACCAGGACTCACAGAGATCCACCTGCCTCCGCCTCCCAAGTGCTGGGATTAAAGGCGTGCGCCACTATCGCCCGTCTGCTGCTTTTTTCAGTGAGAAAGAAAGGATCAATCACTTTATTATTTAATCACTAAAGGTAATCTTATAAAAACTTTTAAAAATCACAAATCTAAACTTATATATGAAAACTAATCCATTATTTCTACTCTCAGCCCTCAGGGTGCATACCCACCCATCAACAGTTTTTATTAAATCATCAGGAAGCTGAGGGCAGAAATGGGCACAAGGAATTAATCACCTTTGATCACCAACCCATCCTAGCAAGAAAGGAACGTCAGCCAGCAATAGCCAGACTGCCATTGTTTTTGTTCCCTGACCTCATTGAGTCTCTCACTCAACTATTAAACATATGTTTTTCTAAACTTTAAACTTTTCCCTAAGGTTTTCTGTCTCACCGCCATGAACAACATCATCTTAACCTAACCTTAAGTCATATCAAAGCTCCATTTCAGCTATGATGCACACTGAAACCTGTGAACACATCTCCCAACATTAAGATTAAAAGAACTCAAGGTAGCCTAGCTCCTGGAGCTCAGCTATTTTCCTTGATCATTAACCCAAGCCACAATCTCCGTGGCTCCTCAAGAGAAACTCCTAAGTCCTAGCTGGGTGACAATTTCTAGTTTCTATTTTGTGCCCTTTGCAGCCCCTGCTCTTCCAGGGGCAGGGTCAACAGTATATTCTACCTTTACCTGTATTACTTTTCCCACTCAACGAACCTCTATCACAATCCCTTATTATATTTGATTAGAAACCCTTAATCATCAAAATTCTATTTAAACTAATTCTATTATTGTATAAAATCATTGCTTCAATTAAACAGTACAGCTCAAGAGGAAATCATCTTCATAATAATTCACGGTAAATATGCCCAGTAGAAGGAGATATTTCCATGAGATAATCACACTACATTAAAGGCAGTGGGGATCCCCTGACACCCATCACCCATTCTCACCATGCCAGATACCAGAGAAAAATGGCATCAGCAAAGCAGTAGCAAGAAACGATCTGGAGCCAAAGCCCTCCTGCTTTGCCTGTCTGAGATTTACCCATTAGTGCCTTGCTTCCTGGTAGGCCTGAAGCTTAATTGTCACCGCTGCTCCTCTGACATGGCCACAGACCAAAGACAAGCCCTGAAGACTGTATAATATAAAGACCCAGCCTGCCTGGGGTGTCATCTCTGCCCTTAAGTACCTATGACATGGGACACATAAATCTATCATTGCCTGCTCAGTTGTCGAGTAAGGATAATAGGTTTGTCCACTAAGGGTTCGGTGTTGATTCCATTAACCTTGAAGTGAAAATCCTGCATCCGGGTGTAATGAGTCTCTGTCCTGCCAGCCTGTGATTTTACCTTACCTCAGTACTGTCCATTCTGCTTCCCTGAGCATCTCGTTTCTCATGAGCGCCTAGATTCCTCCTGGTTCCCACTGTGAGGAGTTCTCTGTCCAACCAGATAACTCCCAAATAATGACACAGAGACTTATTATGAAAACTCGACCTTAGCTTAGGCTTGTCTCACTAGCTCTTATAACTTAAATTAGCCCACGTATATTCATCTATATTTTGCCTCATGGCTTTTTACCTTTCATTCTGTACCTCCGACTTGTTCTGCATCTGTCTCCTTGCAGCTCCTTTGCATGCCTAAATTCGTCCCCAGTTCCTCTTTGTCCGAAATCCCACCTATTCTTCCTGCCTAGCTATTGTCTATTTAACTTTTTGTTAAACCAACCACAGTGACACATCTTTACACAGTGTAACCAAGTATTTCTAAACATCCAGGCGTCGAATAGATGGCTCATTGAGTAAAACTACTTACTACCATGCTTGATGACCTGAGTTTGATCTCCACGACACACACGGGAAAGGCGAGAATTACCTCGAGTACTTGCTCTTCTGACAAGCATGCACACACAGTGGAACATGCACACTCACCTACATACCCTCAAGATAAACGTAATAAATTTAAAAACTGCACCTGTGAGAATGTGTACATGTTTTCCCTTTGTTATTATTCTCTAAATAATACAGCTGTTGACATATCATTTACATTGTATTAGGTATAAGTTATTTAGAGAATTCTTGAGATATAAGTCAAGTGTAGGTTACATGCAAATACTATAAACTTAGTGGTCTCAGCACTCAAGTGTCAAGGGCTGGGCTTGGCTATGTAAATTCCAGGAAACCTTGGCTTCATAGTGAGACCCTAAGTTGCTCATAGGTCGGTCTGAGGCGCAGGTACTACCTCTGAACAACCTTAAGACAGACATAAGTCATGTTTTCCATCAGGTATTCTATTTCTTGGCTCATAGGAAAGAAAATGCCTTTCATAGCGTCTCACCCTGAGTTCATCTAGAAAAGCATGGTAGTGAGGGGCTAAGATACAGCTTAATGGTAAAGTACCCGCCTAGCACGCAAGGGACTGGAGCCGCAGCTCAGCAGAATGCTTGGCTTGCATGCACAAAGTTCTTTGATCCCCACTACTGCATACACTAGTAATGGCACATGTGCTGGGGATGTAGAGGTGGGGGAATCAAGCTCAAGGTCATCTCTGGCTACTTGGCAAGTTCCAGGCCAGTCTGGAATACAGACTTTTTCTTAAATTTAAAAATGAACAGACTGAGTTAGTCAGTTCATGAGTCAAGTCATTTCATTACTTGCCTGACCCCGGGCTTCCTCGTGAGTCCACTCCAGGAAGACGGGAGTGCAGGGTGTGAATAATGACAGAGCTTAATTCATTAAAATTCCCAGGTTTAAGCTAGCCACTTGGGTCTGAAGCTAGCCCCTTCCCAGCTCTGTGTCTTGGACCTGGTTCCTTGTATTTCCTAGGCCGTTTTCCTGCTACCAGATTAGACTGGACAACAATATGTAAAAGTAGCATATTAGATCCTAGCTCCTGACACTCTGTAGGCTGGGGAAGGAGGATATCAAGCTTGAAACAGCCTGGGCTATATATGCAAAGCAAGACCCTGCTTCAGTCAATCTGGCTTTGCATATCAAGTTGGAGGAAACTCATCTCCCAAGGAGGAAAAAACTAGCCTTAGTATGATCGTTTTTTAATACTTATTTTTTTATGTGTATGAATATTTTGCCTGTATTATGTCTGTGCACCACAGTGCATGCAGTGCTGGAGGAGGGCGTCATACCCTCTGGACGATTTGTAAAATGCTATGTGGGCGCTGAGAATCATACCATGTCCTCTGCAAGAGCAGCAAGTGCTCTTAACTGCTATGTCTCCAGCCTCACCCCCACACGTACTTTTTCTTTTTTATAATCATTCGTGTGTGCTTGTGAGTGTACGTGTGGAGGTGCGCTCGTGCTACGGCACAAGTGTGGAAGCCAGATGTGTAGGCGCGCTTGTGGGAGTCAGTTCTCTTACTTCCACGACGTGGGTTCGGGCATCTAACTCAGGTCGTCAGCTGCCGGCAAGCGCCTTTACCCGCTGGGCCATCTCTCCAGCCCAAGATCATTATTTAAACAAAGTAAAACGATGGGCTCAGCATGGTATTGCTTCTCTCTTTCTCTCTACCCGGTGAACCCACGCCCACTGGCGCATTTCACCGGCAGAGCCCGGGACTAAGTACCGAACCCCGCCAACTACAGCGCTTCCGGGTTCCGGTCCCGGACCTGACGTGGCGGGGCGGGATTTCCGCGAGGCTTCCGCGGGTGCTCAGCGACCTGCGGGCAGAAGGCTCAGTTGACTGACCGCACGGTGGCGGCCGGGGTACGGGCCATCTGCTGTGATGGCCCGCAGCGAGAGGCGACGGCGCGCCGCGGCTGCAGAGGGGGCGCGGTCGCTGGAGAAGGCGCGGGGCGCTGGGCGTCGGGACGGCCGGGCAAGCGGGGCGAGCGGGGCACGCGGTTCGGCTGGCGGCGCGGCCCTGGCCGTGGTGGTGCTGGCGCTAGCCTTCGGTCTGTCCGGGCGCTGGGTGATGGCATGGCTCCGTATGCGTCGTGCGCTCACACTGCACCCCGCGCCGCCCGCGCTGTCCCCCGACTCCTCCAGTCCCGCCGTGGCCCCGGAACTCTTCTGGGGCACCTACCGTCCACACGTCTATTTCGGCATGAAGACTCGCAGCTCCAAACCACTGCTCACCGGTAACTCTGGGGCAGGCGACAGGGGAGGAGTGGGGAGGATCCAACAGTCTTCGCAGGCTTAGAGGGACAGTATCTGTTGACTTACATGGCCATTCTATTCCCCAGGACTGATGTGGGCACAGCAGAGCTCCACCCCGGGGACCCCTCCTAAGCTCAGGCACACGTGTGAACAGGGAGACGGCGTGGGTCCCTATGGCTGGGAGTTCCACGATGGCCTCTCCTTCGGCCGGCAACATATCAGCGATGGGGCTTTAAGGCTAACTACTGAGTTCGTCAAGAGGCCTGGGGGACAGCATGGAGGGGATTGGAGCTGGAGAGTGACCGTAGTGCCTCAGGTCAGGGCATCAGGGACCTCTTTCCTCAGCACAGACTTCCCCCATCCTCCCCTTGCAGCAGCAGATGCCCTCATGAAATGGAGGTTAAAGTGGTCTGGACACCAGCCTTGCTGAGCACCTCCAACCTTTCATTTCCTTGTTTGTAAAGAAGTTATCACCCTGACACCTAACCCAAGATTAAGTGAAACAATCCATATAGCATCCTAAAACACCTGTCATATTCCCCCGGGGAGCCCGGTTCGAGGCCCTTCAGCTCAGCCCACTCCAGTGCACCCACTTACCCTCAAGCATTGACAGGTGTTTGCCACAGCTCTTCCTTGTAATCTTTGCTAAGGCTGATTCTCAAAAGAATGCTTTTCTAATGCTTTATTGTCATTGGTCACCCAGGCCTCGGGTACTTCTTCCCTCCCTTTGGTGTCCCTGTTCTTCTACGTGGTAACTGATGGTCAGGAAGTCCTACTGCCAGAGATTGGAGCCAAAGGACAGTTGAAGTTCATCAGTGGGCACACCAGTGAACTTGGTGACTTCCGCTTTACCCTTCTGCCGCCAACCAGTCCAGGAGACACTGTCCCTAAGCATGGCAGGTATATGGGGGAAGGGTGCAGAGAGGTACAGGGGTGGTGTGGATGTTGACTTAGCCTTGCTTCTGTGACCAGAGAGACTGCCAAGACCTTCCTTTCCTGAATAACCATCCCTATGTGTCTTCTTGCCTTCAAGCTACAATGTCTTCTGGTCCTCCAACCCAGGGCTGCCACTGCTCACGGATGTGGTCAAGAGCCGCCTGAACAGCTGGTTTCAGCACCGGCCCCCAGGGGCCTCTCCGGAGCGCTACCTTGGTTTGGTTGGATCTCTGAAGTGGGAGGAGAGAGGCCCTAGTGGGCACGGCCAGTTCTTGATACAGCAGGTGACACTGAAAGTCCCTTTCTCTGTGGAGTTCATATTTGAGTCTGGCAGTGCCCAGGCAGGAAGAAACCAAGCCCGTGGGCCGTTGGTGGGCAGCCAGCTGACCCAGGCCCTAGAGAGCCATGTTGCAGCTTTCCAGGAGCGTTTTGAGAGGACCTTCAAGTTAAAGGAGAAGGGCCTGAGCCCCGAGGAGCGGGCTCTGGGGCAGGTTGCCCTCAGTGACCTCCTTGGTGGGATTGGCTATTTCTATGGGCAGGGTTTGGTGTTGCCAGACACTGGTATGGAAGGGTCTGAGCAGAAAGTAGACCCTGCCCTATTTCCGCCCGTCCCTCTTTTCTCTGGAGTCCCTTCCCGGTCATTCTTCCCACGAGGCTTCCTTTGGGATGAAGGCTTTCACCAACTACTGGTTCAGCGATGGGATCCCCACCTCACCCGAGAGGCCCTAGGCCACTGGCTGGGGCTGCTCAATGCTGATGGCTGGATTGGGCGGGAACAGATACTGGGGGATGAGGCCCGATCCCGGGTACCCCCAGAATTCCTAGTGCAACGTGCAGCCCATGCTAACCCTCCAACCCTGCTCTTGCCGGTATTACGGATGTTGGAAGGTAGTGACCCTGAGGACCTGGCCTTCCTCCGAAAGGCTTTCCCCCGCTTGCATGCTTGGTTCTCTTGGCTCCATCAAAGTCAGGCAGGGCCAGTGCCACTGTCCTACCGCTGGCGGGGCAGAGACCTGGCTTTGCCTACCCTACTCAATCCCAAAACGCTGCCCTCAGGCCTGGATGACTACCCCAGGGCATCACACCCTTCTACGGCAGAGCGACACCTGGACCTGCGATGCTGGGTGGCACTGGGCGCTCGGGTGCTGTCACGGCTTGCAGAGCAGCTTGGGGAGGCTGAAGCTGCTGCAGAGCTGGGCCCTCTGGCTGCCTCTCTGGAAGAACCCAGGAGCCTAGATGAGCTGCACTGGGCTCCTGAGCTGGGAGTCTTTGCTGACTTTGGGAACCACACAAAAGCAGTACAGCTCAAGTCCAGGCCTCCACAGGGGCTGGTTAGGGTGGTAGGCAGGCCTCCACCTAAGTTGCAGTATGTGGATGCCCCCGGCTATGTCTCTCTTTTTCCCTTCCTGCTACAGCTGCTGGACCCCAGCTCGCCCCGCTTGGGGCCCCTGCTGGACATTCTAGCTGACAGCCGCCATCTCTGGAGCCCCTTTGGGTTGCGCTCCCTCTCAGCCTCCAGCCTCTTTTATAGACAGCGTAATTCTGAGCATGATCCCCCGTACTGGCGAGGTGCCGTGTGGCTGAACATCAACTACCTAGCTCTAGGGGCACTCCACCACTACGGGCACGTGGAGGGTCCCCACAAGGCTCAGGCCGCCAAGCTCTACCATGAACTCCGTGCCAATGTCGTGAGCAATGTATGGCGGCAATACCAGGCTACGGGGTTTCTGTGGGAACAATACAGTGACCAGGACGGACGGGGCATGGGCTGCCGCCCCTTCCACGGATGGACAAGCCTTGTCTTACTGGTCATGGCTGAAGAGTACTGAAGGGACTGGGGGAGAGCCAGGCCACTTGTGTCGCTTGGAATATGCAGAGACAAGGTCTTAGGTTTCTGGTCCCCTCAGACCTTGTAAGCCCATCTCAGGTGTCTCCTTATTGTCACCCCATACAGTTCTGGGGTGACTGTGAACTCAAGAGTCTATTTTTCTAAATAAACTGGAAAAAGAAAAAACCCTAACTAAACTCTTGCCTTTGGCAGTTTAGCCTCAGGACTACCTGCTGTCCTCAGATAAGGTGATAAATGGTCACTGCTTTTTCCTTCAACCCCAGTGTGGTTGGGGGGGCATGCAATAATTGGAGATCTACTCTACCCAAAACCACAAGCAGCTGGTTCACATCTCTTTAATGAGATTAAAGGCTCCTGTGTATGTTTTGGGAGTGAGTAAAGATAGCACAGTCCTCGGTACTGCCCTCTTCGGGGCTCCAGCCCTTTCAGGCATATTCTAGGAGGAAGAGGAGGGGAGAGGTCCACATGGAGGACCACAGTTGAAACCGGGGCTGCTCCTGGTGGCCTCCCTCCTGAAACTACTTATGGGATGTCCCCATAACTGGAAGCCAGCCCCAAGGGAGAATCTGGGGACAGTGCACAAGGGGAATGGTCCTCCAGATCTGGTTGGGTGGGACTAGCCCTCATCTCCTTGACTGGCTCACCTTCAATAGAGTCAGGACAAGGGCAGAGCTCAATACCCGAGTCACCAGTCAGGTGACGATAGCGGCAGGAAGGGAGTATGTGAACTGGGCTCAACCCTGCCCTGGGCTCACCCTCCTGATGAGGGAGGGCACTCTGGTGGGAGGAGACACCTTCCACATTTGTCCCCTCCGAGTGGGCAGAGCAGCTGGATGCGGAAGAACAGCAGGTGCATCCAGAGGAAGCAGTCAAGGGGTGGCCCGGGGCCATAGTGTAAGGAGGTGGTGGTGTGCCAGGGTGGTGAACCACATCCTCATAGGCTGGGGGTTTGAAGGTGCTGAGAAGGCCTGCAGGAGAGAGAACAGCATGGATGACTGAAGCCAGGCTACAAGAGTGAGCTCTCCTAGTGGGGCAAAGTGCTTTGAAAAGTGCCAGTGTGGGGTGGCTGAGGGTCCTGGCTTGGGAGGGGCTGCTGGTTCTGCACCCAAGAGCCTCAAGTCACTCACGAAGGTCAAGCAGGGAACCAGCAGGAACAGGGCCAGCCCCATGGCATGCCCCATGGTAAGCCAGCAAGTTGATCTCACGCTGCCGCTGCTGCTGCTGCAGCCTGAGTTTAGCTCTCCGGTGGCGGAAGGCGCAACAACAGCTAAAAAGGATGAGGACTGTCCAGAGCAGCCAGAACCCTGTGAGAGGCAAGAGCACATCTCCGATTACCAGCCTCGCCCTTCGTCCAGAGAAGGGTCCTCAGGAGCTGAATTCAGAAACCCAAGGGAGGACGGGCAGGGGACCTGAGAGGGGTCCCTTCGGAGACTCACACCAGAGTTCATAGTAGTAGGTGCAGCAGCCAGTCTCCCCGCAGCAGTGGCCGTTCTCACAGAGGTAGGGTTGGGTATTCACTCCTGGGCATAGCTCTTGAAGCTGGAGGCAAGTCGGCACTTAGAACTAAGGGAGATTTACCCAAGGCCCTGTCCACCCCACCTCCTGCATGAGCATACACGATCCCACCCATGAGCCAACATAGCTTGCGGAGATGGCAGAGGGATGCTGAGGAGTGTTTAAATATACGTAGGGCTGTCAGTATGAAAGATCTGGAATAGCCAGAAACTAGTGTAGAAGATAAAGTGTGGGTACACAAGGCAGGTGATTTCAGTTCTTTACACCCAAGATTTCTCTCACCTAAGCCTGGCCCCAAGGGGTTTTTGGCAAGGTATGGTTTGGAAGAAGCAAACACCATCTGACAATGGGTAGGGATCTAAGGCCAATTCCATAGCTAAAATGCTTTCAACATCCCCCACCCCGATGGTCTGCCTCCCACAACCCCAAGATGGATTTTTCCACCCCTGGGTCTCAAACTCCCTAGGGTAGAGGAGGGGCAATGTGAGACCCAGAGCAGTGCTCCCAACCAGATGGGATTGCTGTGGATGATAAAGGATGGCATCCAGGGCGCGAGTCTGGGTCCCAGCTCGTCTCCAAATTGCTCCCTCAAGAGAAGACGCTGCCGGACTCTGTTGTGACAATAGGCACATAGAAAAACATCACAGATAACTGCTGCACGATAGAGAGCCTCCCTGGGGTCCTCACTACGCCTCTGGTAACTGGAAAGCCACTGCAGGCTTGCACTGCAGCCATGGGATGGGGTCTAAAGGCTGCAGGTAAAGTCAACTGCGTCTACGTTACAAAGTTTAGACAAAGAGTAGTATGGTCACGTTGAGGAACTTCATAGTACCTTTGGCTCCGAGAGCTCCTCCCCCACCCCGGACAGGAAGTGACAGGAAAGGGGAAAGAGAAATAAATGGCTGTCGTGATAGGCTTTTAGAGCTGCTGGGATACCTGCTGTTGCGGCGACCGGAGTGCCCCCCAGGCCTCTTCGCTGCTGTTCCTGCTTCTGGCCCGAGCCATGCCTCCACCTACAGACCTCTGAAGACCACAGCCTCTTCTACCTCCTGCTGCCCCGCCCCTACCACCTCTGCCGCCACCGCCATGGTCCCTGCCCGGCCCATCTCCGACGCTGCCACCATCACTCCGCGGCCGGAGCTCCCATCCGGGGAGAGCTCTTCCAGAGGACAAGGATTGCTCAGTCCAACCAATCAGTATCGTCCACCGACACACTGACCAATAGGAAAGGATCACAGGTTTCTCCCGCTGTCCAATCCGCAGCGGCGCCTCTGCCGCTCTCCCAGACAACAAGAACTCGCACAAAGCCGAGGGGAAGGTTCACTCGAGAACCTGATTGACAGCAACAACAGCCAGTACGGACAACAGGGCAAGCTTTGACTTATCAGCCAATGAACGGCCGTGCAGGAGCACAAACTTGCCGCCGATTGGCTGGGTGAATCGCACAGGTTCCAAGTCGGCCGGTTTCTCACTCCAGCAATTCTCTACAAGCCGAGGCACCGCACTAAATTTAATAGGGTGAGGGAGACAGAAGGAATGTGGCACGGGGGAGGCCTTAAGTGGCCAGGAGGGGGGACCCCGGGCCCTCAGGTCCACCCAGCCGTAGCTGTAGGTTGATGCGATAGCACTGCAGGCTGCAGAGAGCCTGACCGGTGCGGGAGCAGGCTTAACGACGCGGGTGGGGGCAGCCGGGGACGGAGCAGCGCGGAGCGGGGCCCGACGGGGCGGGCCGCTGAACCACCGCCGCGGGTGCGGGGACTCCGGGAGGAAAGGACAGAGTGGAGCCCTGTGCCCCACTGCTGTAGCGCACCATGGGTGTAGGGGCCGGGGCAGCTGCCCGCCCTCCGCGCCTCTCGCCCCGTGCTGCCCCACGCCCTCCGCGCCCACTAGGAGCGGCAGTCTTGGTGAGACGCTCAATAGTCTGATTTTTGTGCTCCTCGGCCCGCCTTGCCGCCTGCAGCCGTCGCTTCCGTGCCCGTTCCTCACGTTTCAGCAGCATCTCTTCGGTGAGGGCAGGGGCAGGGCAGCCCCCAGCCACTGGTAGAGGCAGGATGGGGGACGGCTGACTCCGCGCCTTCTGGAGCAGGGCTCGCTGGGAAAAGAGTGAGGATGTCTGAGAACCTAATGTCAGGTCCCCAAGTCGTGGGATGAGAAAGAGGACTTGGAAGGCAGGGTCTTGAGAGTCATATCCCCCCCCCCCCATTTTGTTTTTCGAAACGGTTTCACTATGTAGCTCTGGCTGTCCTCGAACTCATTATCAGGCCAACCTCGAGCTCAAGAGATCCTCCTGCCTCTGCCTTCCAATGGCTGGGATTAAAGGTTTGTGCCACCAAGTTTATTTTGAGGAGACTGTTAATACCACTTGCTCCTCCCAGGGCTCCGGACCTTCGCTCAGCTTCAAAGGAGGAAAACATCCCCCACCTGCCCCAAGTGACAGACCTGTGCCATCCTTGTGTAGAGTTTTGCTGGATTAGGCTCAAACTAAAAACTCAGAATTACTCTGGATTCCTTTTCTTCTCCAGTCATCTCCAAACAAGTAGCTATTTCCAAAATAGATCCAGGATCTGGTGGGGTTTTCTTCATTTTATTACTACCTCTTGTTTAAGCTATCACTCTCTCTCCTGTTCTCCACATTCCATGCCCCTCTCCTGATTGATTGATTGATTGATTGATTGAGACAGAATCTCGAGATGTATTCCTGCTTGGCTCAGAATTTGTAGCCATCCTTCTGCCTTTCAAGTTCTGGGATTACAGGCATGCCCCCATCACAGCCTGCACAGCAGTTTCTCCAGAAATCGCTAAGATTCGCTCCACAAAAATCGCCAAAATAATTACTGAAAATTTAAGTCAGTCTTGTCACTTGTCCACATATGACCGATTGGTGGCTAAGCCACATTTTCCTCCTGTGCCTATGTCAGCTGGCCCCTTTGCTTGAGACACTCTGCTGGTACTGGAAATGTCATCTTTTTTTTTTTTTAATTTATTTATTATGTATACAATATTTTGTCTGTGTATACGTCTGCAGGCCAGAAGAGGACACCAGAGCTCATTACAGATGGTTGGGAGCCACCATGTGGTTGCTGGGAATTGAACTCAGGACCTTTGGAAGAGCAGGCAATGCTCTTAACCTCTGAGCCATCTCTCCAGCCCCAAAATGTCATCTCTTTAAAGAGGCATTCTGGGCTGGAAAGACCACTCAGCAGTGAAGAGCACTGGCTACTCTTGCAGAGTTCCCAGCACCTATAGGGCAGCTCACACTGGCTGTCAATCTACTTCCAGGAGTTCTGCTGACCTCTGGCCTCCATAGGCAGCAGCCAGGGGTCAGCAGAACTCCTGGAAGTATCTTTAAAACAAAAGCAGCCAGCAGGCGGTGGTGGCGCGTGCCTTTAATCCCAGCACTCGGGAGGCAGAGGCAGTAAGTTCGAGGCCAGCCTGATCTACAAGTGCTAGTCCAGGACAGGCTCCCAAGCTACAGAGAAACCCTTTCTCGAAAAAGTAAAAAAAAAAAAGCAAACAACAAGCCATTCCCTACAACTACCCTAATGCTCTGCCTTGCCACTTTCTATTTCATTATTCCTATTTTCTGTAGTTTGTAAAATTTATCAGTGAGCTGGGTGTGGTGGCACACACCTTTAATTCCAGCACTTGGGAGGCAAAGGCA